TCAGAACAATCTCACAGCGGACAATGCTCTCAGGCACTGTCCCTGGCTCAGAGGACACGGAATCTGAAGCCCAGAGTGGTGCCAAGACACAGAGGCCAGGAAGGGCAGGGGCGCCCACCAGCAGCCCACCCCCATCACTCACCTGCCCAGCTCCTCCCCCATCTCATAATGGTCCTCAACGTCCTCCTGTCTGAATGTGGACATGGCGGCTGCCGACTTCAGGATTCTGGGGACACAGGAACTGGGGGACAGAGGAGAGCGAGAATGTTTATCACAGATCCAACTTCTTCCAAGAGACTGCCCCAGCACATGTGACACCGATGCCCCTGCCCCAGACTTTCTTTGGTCATCTAATGCCCCTACCCACAATTTGGACACAGCAGAGCAAACCTGGCACCCCAGCACTGGGGAGGGGAGGGCTGAGGACAGGAGTTCAAGGGCATCCTCAAATACGTGGTGAGTTACAGCCAGCCTGGGCTCCATGACGGGAACTGGAGTGACTGAAGGGATGGCTCTGACAGTAAGAGTGGGTGCTGTTCTTGCACAGTAGCTGAGTTCGGTTCCCAGTGCCCACTTTAGGTGGCTCACTAGTACCCCTAACTCCTGTGCCTGGTGACCCCGGAACACCCTCTTCAGGCATCTACGGTACCTGCAGGCATTGCGACACCCCTCTCAAAAACAAGCATAGATATAACTAAAACAAGCAGACCAACCCTGTCAAGCAGTATACACACACACACAAAGCTATAAAACACAGAATATAGTGTCATCATGTGCCCTTTACCCTAGCACTCAGGAGACTGAGGCAGGAGGATTAAGCCGAGTTTAAAGTCAGCGTGAGGTTCTCTACTCTCAACACTCTTCCATAGCGTCCGGCTCTTGGGACTCTTAGCTAGCTTCCTCACCTGTCAATCATGCCCACCTGCACCCCGGAACTTGGGGGTGTCGCTGGAAATCCGACGCATGCGCAGCCGTGGTGCCGCTCCTAGAGGTCCACCCCTGGAGGCTGGAGAGTCCCGAGACAACCATGCCCCTTGCGGATCCCTCCCCTTGCTCTGGCCCTGGCCGCGTGTCCCTTGGGTCCCAACACAACGTCCCGGCCCCGGCCCATTCGTACCGTCCTACGCCCGGGTCCCCGCCCGGCGCCAGCGAGGCCCCCGCGAGAGCCTCCGGTGCAAATCCTAAGGCGACATCTGCGCATGCGCCGACGGCGCAGCAACACGCCCCCAGAAGTCCGCGCTCATTGGATCCCGACATTAGCCAGAAACTAAATGCACCACTCATTGGCTAGCATCCGACCTATCAGCGGAAGCGGACGCTGATTAGCTACGTCATCACCCTAGACTAGGCGAGACTCCAGTGCTCATTGGACAAGGATTGCCGGCTGGCCAAGGCTTGCCAGGAACGCCCAATGCCGCCCTCGGGGAGCACGTCAGTGGGCGGGTGTCTCCCTGCTCTGATCTGATTGGCTAGCGCAAACAGTGAGGCTGTAGACTAACCTGGGGCCACACAAGCTGTAAACCAGACCCCTGGATGTGCACATGGAGACGGTCCAAGCTTGTGGAACCGAGCGGGGTACGTGTACTGGAAGGTCTATGGCCAAGACATTGGGTAGCGGGGGGTTGGGGACACCACTGCAGGCCACCCTCAGTAAGGAAACCAGGAGCCTTGTGGGAGAAGCCAGACACCCTTAAAAGCAGAGGTGACCGGGAAAGCGAACGCAGAAGGACGAGGAGGAGCCGGTGCGGATCAACCACAGTAGAGTTTATTACTCCAATGATTCACACAGCGGGGTTGCAAGTCTAAGGCTGGCTGCCTGCCTTCCTTGAGGGACTTACCCCACCTCCCCCTCTGGGGGAACTCCACTTGGCCATGGACCCCATAAACCTCTGAATGCATTCATTTAGACTTTTGGACATCTGCGAGTTTCCCTCTGAAAATGTTAAGAGCCGTGTCCCGCCCACCCCACGGCCTGCCAGTCCAGCCTGCAGAGAGCGATTCCCGCTGCCTTCTAATTCCGAAATAAATAGACTTGGTGACAAGTGTGCTGAGTGATGTCAGGGCGGCCCCAGCAGCCTCCAGAGGGGCACCATGGGGACAGTCTCAAGGTGTCTTCTGATGGGCGGGCACTGTGCAGCGTGTGGCAGTACCAAGCTGCCTACAGTTTGTCCAGGAAGTTGTCCAGGGCTGGGATGCCTTCCTTCAGGCCTTTGCGCTTGCGGGTCTCAGCTACCACTTGGCTGGGGCGGCTGCTGTTGTCAAAGGGGTCCCCAGGCAGGATCTGCCAGTGGTCAAACACGCACTGGGGGAAGGCCTGGCCACCAGTGTTGGATCGAAGGTCTGCGGTGAAGCCTGCACAGAAGACAGGAGGCTCATCAAGCAGCCTGACCCTCTAGGTCTCTCCCTGGGGGCATGCCTCGCTGTCTTGTCATTCCTCTCAGGGAGGCTGCTGGCTTTCCAGGTTCCATGTTGGTTTTGAGCTGTTTCTCTGCATAGTTTGTAGCTCTGGCTTTCCTGGCACCCTTAACCAGGCTGGCCTTGAAGTGACAGAACTCTGCTCCCCTGCTCCACACCCACCCAGCTACATAACCTGCCAGCAAACCCCAGGGAGCAGACACTCACCAAAGGACTCATTGACAGGCAGGTATGCCTTGACCACGAACATGGGGGTACCGGCCACCTGGGACTCCTCAAATACATGGCCACGCTTCCTGTTGAGGACACCGTAGATGCCACCCACCACTTGCTCAGGACACTGAGAAGAGAGAAGAGTGGTTTGCAGTGGGCAGCAGCAGGAGGTCAGACAGGCACCCCACCCACAAGGCACACCAGTTACCTGGATCTCCACTAGATAGATGGGCTCCATGAGGCGGGGCTGTGCAGTCAGCACACTGGCATAGAGGCAGCGGCGCGCTGTGGGGATGATCTGGCCGCCTCCCCGGTGGATGGCATCAGCATGCAGGGTGACATCATGGACATCGAATCGCACACCACGCATGTTCTCCTCACACAGAGCGCCCTGGGAAGAGGTACAAGTCAGACAGTGGCAGGCCCTCAGAAAGTCAGAAAGCCAGCTCAGGCGCAGTCACTCACCTCCTTCGTAGCCCACTGGAAGCCAGCCACCACACTGTCCTTGATCTCATTCAGGTACTGCACACCCTTGGTGATGTCGGTGAGAATGTTGGGGCCAGTGCCGTCAGGGCCGAAGCACCAGATCTTGCGGGCTTCGGCAACATCCCACTCATACTTTTCAGCCAGGTAGCGGGCACGGGCTTTGAGCTCCTGGCGGGCAGACACCTCGCCCTTGTCGATGTCCTCTGCCAGGCCATCAGGGAAGGGCCTGGCCTTCATGTACAGCCGGTTGTGCTTGTTCGGGGACTTGGACAGACACAGCACGTTGGACTCCTCGCTGACGGTCTCCCGGTAGGACACGACAGGGTCAGACTTCTTGATGGGGATGCAGGCGTGGTCCTCCTCCAGGTCCTTCAGGCAGATCTCCAGGTGCAGCTCGCCCGCGCCCGCAATGATGTGCTCTCCAGACTCCTCGATGATGCACTGTGGGAACAGTGGTCAGCGCCCTTGCCACCCTCCCCAGGAGGCCCCAGCCTCAGGCCCAGCACTGGCTACTTTCTGCTGGTGTTCCCCCCCCCCCACCCACGGCCGGCCAAGGAGCAAGCGGCACACCTGCACCATGGGGTCAGACTTGGCCAGCCGCTTCAGCCCCTCCACCAGCTTGGGCAAGTCAGCTGGGTTCTTGGCCTCCACGGCCACCCTGACGACAGGGCTGACACTGAACTTCATCACGCGCATGTTGTGAGCGTGCTCAAAGGTGGTGATGGTCCCCGTCTTCACAAGGAACTGGTCCACTCCGACCAGCCCCACAATGTTTCCACAGGGCACGTCCTCAATCGGCTCCACATAGCGGCCCATCATCAGGATGGTTCTCTGGATGGGCTTCAGGTACAGGTCTTCTTTCTTCCCAGGGGTGTAATTGGGGCCCATGATGCGGACCTTCAGGCCCGTGGACACCACCCCAGAGAACACTCTACCAAAGGCATAGAAGCGGCCTTTGTCAGAGGTTGGCACCATCTTGGAAATGTACATCATAAGGGGGCCTTTGGGGTCGCAGCTCTTAATACCTACGGAGAGTTGGGAATTCAAGTCACCCAGCTGCTACACCAGGAAGACCCAGGAGCAGAGCCGACGGCGGGCCTATGGTACATACCCATGGCAGCCTCGTCATCAGGTGGCCCCTCGTAGAGCAGCTCACAGCGGTACTTCTGCGCAGTGACAGGGGATGGCAAGTGGATGGTGATCATCTGGAGCAGGGCGTCCCCCGCGGGCAGCCAGCGGCGCATCACAGCTTTGAGCAATGGCTTGCCCTCCTTGTCCTTGTCCTCGCTGTCCAGCTTGATGTCCAGCTTTTCAATCAGCTTGGCTGTCTCCTCCTTCCTGAAGTTCATGATGGCATCGAACACCTGTGCCCAGGGGGAAGGAGGTGAGCCCGGCGACCTGAGACCTGCTGGCCCAGGCTGGGGTTCCCAGGGGGCCACAGCTTACCCACCTTAAAGATGGGGTCCAGGATAAGCTGGCAGAAGGTGCGGGGAAGTTTCTTCCCGTCTGGGCTATTGGCTGACTTGCTGAACTTGCCATTGGCCGGGTCGAAGTACCTAGTAGAGAGTGGTCACGTAGCAGAGGCAGCAGAGGCTGCAATGGGCGGTGTGCAGTGGCAGCCCCACGTCCTGTACTCACCGGTCTCCCCACAGCTTCTTCATCATGTCCTCCACTTTCTTAGCGCGCTCGGCTGCCCCCAGCTGGCCCTCACCCTTGGCCGCAAACTTAGCCACGTACATCTCTGCAAACTGCTTCAGAGTGAAGGCCCAGCCGTGCAGGCCAGAACCAAAGCCTACGGTGCCCAGGACAGGGTCAATCTGAGGGAGGAGGAGGGCAGCCGTTACCAGCAAAGTTGGTTAGCAGCCAGCCCAGCCACAGGCCCACAGCCTCAGATACTGAGTTTCTTCAACAGACATCAGGTCAAAGTGAAGAATTTCTGTCATCACGTGTGGGTGCAGGTCCTCCCAGGGCCCTGATCTCTCCCAGCCCCCTCCCCGGACAAGCAGGGCTTCGCACCATGATATTGCCCATGGGCCCGCTCTCGCCCTCGCCATAGGTAGAGATGATGACGTTGACATTCTCCACGATGCGCTGGAAGGTCTGGTAGAGCTCCTCAGGCTCCAGCTGCAGCTCCAGCAGGGCCCGGTCCATCTTATTCATCATCAGCACGGGCTTGATGCGCTCGGCGATGGCCTGGCGCAGCACCGTCTCTGTCTGCACACACACGCCTGAGGGACAGTGCAGCGTACAACTTAGAGGTCCGGGGAAAAGCACCAGCATTTTAACCCCCGGGGTGTTCGTCAAGGGCCCAGTGACTGGTCTGTCGGCGGGAACGTGCTCAGGCACTCACCAAGGTTCACTGGGCCAGATCACCCAGAGCCACATCTGCTTAATCAGTTCAGGTCCACCCTCCTGTGAGGGCAGCAGCCTGGCCCCTTGCCACTCTGTCCCTTACCCCTTTCACTATACAGCCCGGGAGGTCCTGGACCTCAGAGGCCCGCCTGCCTCTGCCTCAGAGTGCAGGAATCAAAGGGTAACAAGTCCACAACTTCGCTAGCTAACTTCACAACCCCCCTGCCCAGACACAGATGGTCACAGCCACTCCAACTGAAACCTAATCTCCCCTTAAAATGAGTGACTTGAATTTAGGTCCCCCAAAGGTGTCAGTACTGGGCCAAGAGAACATCAGCTATTGTCACTTACCAGACACACAGTCCACCACCACCAGAGCTCCGTCGGTGACACGCAAGGCAGCTGTCACCTCTGAAGAGAAGTCCACATGGCCTGGAGAGTCGATGAGGTTGATGAGGAAGCCCGAGCCATCCTTGCTCTGCTTGATGAAGTTCAGGTCGTTCTCAGAGAGCTCATAGAAGAGGGAGATGGCCCTACGGGGAAGGGGACATCAGTCCAGACATGGTCACGAGATGGAGCCACTCCTGGTCCCAAATACTGAGGTGACCCCCACAGCATCACTGGCAGACCAGTCGAGAAGCAGATATATTGGAGAAATGCCCCTGAATTTGCTGTTGGTCCATTGGCAGTCAAGTCCCTGGGGGCGCTGAGTGACACACAGAACACAGCCCCCGCCCCTCGGGCCGCCCCAACTTACGTGGACTTGATTGTGATGCAGCGCTCCTGCTCATCCTTCCGAGTGTCGGTGAAGCGTGTCTCCCCGGCCCGAGCAGAGGCGATGATGCCCGCCTTGCACACGAGGGAGTCGGTCAGCGTGGACTTGCCGTGGTCCACATGGGCGATGACTGACATGTTCCGGATGTTGGCTTTCTTGTCCATGATGGCACGGATCTGATCTACTGTGAAGTTCACCTGGCGTGGGGGGAGGGCGGGCGGGGTGATTCTGGGAACTCGGCCTGGCAGGCACCAGCAGGTCGAGAGCACCCCACGCCGGACAGGAGGTGTCAAGACTGCCTGACTCGGCAAGCCCGGCACCTCAGGGGCAAGGGTCCACAGATGTGTCACCAGCACAGCTCTACCCTGAGAGCAAGCTGACAACTGGACAAGGGGAAGAGCAAGCCTGGGCTCGAGGACAACCAAAGCACCGCGTACGTCATCTCAGCAGAGCGGCCCCCGGCCGGCAGAGGGTGGGAAGTGCTGGCCCGTCACGGTCACCGCCGGCCGCACACCGGCCGGGGCTCCGCGCCAAGGTCAACCGCGCAGGTCAAAGGTCCGCCGGGGCTGTCACCTCCCGGGGTGGCTCTCCGCCCGTCCCAGGGGCGCGGGGACAGCGCCATGCCCGCGGGCACGGGGACGCGGGAGCCGGAGGAGCGCTCCGGCCGCGGGGGACACGCAGACATGGCGCCGAGGCCCGACCACGTCGCGCCGCCCGGGCCGGGAGGGCCGTGTCTCCTCCGCCTCCCCCTCGGGGCCGCGCTGCGCCGCCGCCCGCCGCCGCGGAGACCCGCCTCGGCCCCCGAGTCCCGCCGCTCCGCGGACACTCACCATGGCGGCGGATGGCGACGGATTCTCAGAGTCGGAGGTGAACGGGGAGGCGCGCCGACGATGGCGGCGGCTGCGGCGGAAGAGACCGCTGACGTCAACGCCCCGCCTTTTATAGGTGGACGCCGGTTGGGCGCGTCACGTGACGGCGCGGCCGCGCTGCGGGCCTGGTTGGCTGGGCCCCGCGGACCGGTCTGCGCACGCGCAGAGAGCGGCGGCCGGGACTTAACGCTTGGCCCGCCTTGGGAGCGGCTGCGTCGCGGCCGGGGCGTGGCCAGCTCGGTCGCCGGACCCAGGGCGAGGGTCCGAGGGGGGGTCTTTAGACGTAGACTCTTCAGAACACAGTTGCTTCCAAGATGATTCTTGAAAACCTTGTAGGTCAATAAAAAAGTACTTTGAAATTCGTCTCGGGCCGCGCGTTGGGCCAAAGCCCGAGTTCCTGGGTTTGAGGCTGTTATGTAATTTGACACCTCTGGGAAAAGCTGGAGAAAGTGACCCTTGGGGCCCCAGATCTATTTCTACAAAATCTTGCTTGTGCTTTTATTACACTTTTTCGTTTGTTTGTTTGTTTGTTTGTTTTGGAAACAAGGTCTTTGGATGCAGCCCAGGATGGTCCCAAACCCCGACGATCTGCCTGCCTCGGTGCTGGGGTTAAAGTCTGCGCCAACAACCCAGCTCTCCGGAAAGGTTTTTTTTTTTTTTTTTTTTTCCAGAGACAGGATCTGTAGTAGAACAGGCTGGCCCTCAACTGGATTGACTGTAGAGGTTGTCCTTGAATTCCTGATCCTCCTGCCGGCAAGAATGCAACATAAACGATAAAACCAAAACAAAAGGCGGACAGTAGTGGTGCAGCTTTTAGACAGGAGATCTTTGTTAAAAGCTAACCTAGTCTACACAGTGGATAACAGGACAGACAGAGCTAAACCGAGAAACCCCGCCTTAAAAACAAACAAACAAACGATAGATAGATAGATACATAGAGATATCTACTGATAGAGATCTGTCAGTGGAGCTCGGCAGAGTGACAATCAGCAGTCATTCCAGCACTTGGCAGATGGAGGCAGGGGGATTAGGAATTCAAGGCCATCCTTCCTTGCATAATGAGTTTTTTCAAAAAGAAAATGAAACCAAACCTGTGGTTTCTCGGATTTTTGTCACTTGTCTCCTAATTTTTTGCACCTTTAGACGGGTTTCATTCTGTAGCCCGTAACTCACAGCAATCCTTTTAAAGCTACTGCCTGAACAAAGCAAGGAGAAAGTGTTTTTAAAGAGAGGCCTCGATGCTGGCCGTGCCGCGTGAGTCCAGAAGGAGGCGCCGCAAGACCGCGAGCGTGACTGTCCCCGCCTGACCCTGGACGCACAGTCTTCTGCACACAATAGATACTCATTGTTTCTCCGTTCGACCCATGCAGAAGACCTTCCCTCGGGAAACCTTGTTTCAAGCTCCCTCATTAAAGCCAGGGGACACATCTTACCCTTCCAGACTTGGAGGGAGAGGAAGGGAGGAGTCCTAACCTAAAATAAGTAAATTAAGCAATGCGGTTTGGGAATCTTGGCTCTAAAGTGTACCGGCACCGCCTCCACCACTGCGGTCTCTCTGTTTGCTTTAAAAACCTGATCCCTGCTTAAACAAGAGGGGACGCTGAGACCAATGACAGGAATCAAGTCTATTGATTGGCTGGGACGCAGAGCCTCCCCAGGGGTGGCAGGCTCAAGAACTAAGCTCGAGAACTAAGGACCATCAACACCTGGGTGCCCTACTCCATTCCAGTCAAGTTTTACAGGGCCAGCGCATGCGCCCTATGGTCGGGAATTTTGCATCCTAAAGATCTGTTTTCTTGAAGAGCAGAGAGGTCCCTGAACTGAGTGTCAAAGACTCTTTTTTTTTTTAATTTTTTATTTTTGTGGCTGGAGAGACAGCCATGGGTGCTGGGAACCGAACTCTTATATTTTTGGTTGTGAGCCTAGCCTTTAACGGCTGAGCCATCTCTCTAGCACGTGTCAAAGATTCTTAACAGTTCATTCTAGGAAGAAAGGAGTCTTTGCAATCAGACAGGGCAAATGTTCTCAGAGATTCAGCCAGCTGGGGCTGGTCTCAGGGTATAGAGAATTGTCTACAGGCGAGAAGCCCTGGGTTCCACCCCACAGCCATATACACTGGGGTTGGCAGTGCCTGCCTCTCATCCCACCAGCTGGAGACTAGAGGAGGAGCAGGAGCACAAGATTATCCTCAGCTACATGAGTTCAAGGCCAGCCTGGGCTACACAGAGAATTTGTTTTTAAAAATAAAGAGGTTAAAAAGCCAGGCAGTGGCAGGCAAATGCCTTCAATCTCAGAATAATAAATAAATAAATAAATAAATAAATGGAATAGAGAGTGGACATAGCTGGACTAGCCTGCTATTCCAAAGTGTTAAAAGATAAAAGATTGTGGGAAGCTCTTAACCAAGCCTGGCTTCCCAGCATACTCTCAAAGTAAATCAGAACTGAGATCCCTGTGGAGAAGTGTGTGTCACACAAGCCTGATGCCCTCAGACCATGGTGGAAAGACAATGCCACTCCAGGAACTTGTCTGACCCACATGTATGTGTAGTACAGACATCATGCACGCATTAATAATAAACAAAACCTTAATCGAGCCGGGCTGAGCTCGGCGAGTACTGACCAAGCGGGTACAAGGATCTGACTTCCATCTCAAACACTACGGGAACCAGAACAGGACAGAGGTGGAAGCAGGGGCAAAGATCAAATCAGCCTAGGCTACAGGAGACCCTTGCTCAAAAAATGAAGCAATTTCATTTTTAATTGTTTTAAAGATTTATTTATTTTATATATGTGAGTACTCTGTAGCTGTCTTCAAACACACAAGAAGAGGGCATCGGATTCCTGTTATAAATGGTTGTAAACCACCATAAGGTTGCTGGGAATTGAACTCAGGACCTCTGGAAGAGTAGTGAGTGCTCTCAACCACTGAGTAGCCTCCTTTTGTTTGTTTTGTGAGACAGGGTTTCTCCACATAATTCTGGTTGGCTTGAAACTATGTAGACCAGGGTAGCCTCAAACTCACAGAGATCTGCCTGCCTCTGATTTGAAACTTCTAGGATCAAAGGTGTGGACTACCACACCCAGTTAAAATACAATAATTTGAAAACAAAACTATGAGACAAGGTCTTACTGGACAGCTTTGTGGTCTGGCCTGGAATCTCAGACATTCTCCCTTGTTCTGGGTTTCTAGTGTTGGAGCTACAGGCGTGTGCCATTATCTGGACTGAGTAATTAAATTTCATTTTGGAGAGAAATAGTTAAATTGTTCTCAGTGATTGGCTTTCTTGGCAAATTCTAAAAAGCTAGTTAATGCGGGACAAGAACACAGCAATGTCCGGGGCTGAGACTGGACAAAAGGGATTGACAGGCAACTGGGGGATGGGAAAGATGCACAGCAGCTAAGATCTGCAGAGCTTGCTGCTAGACAGCCATTCAGGATCTGCAGCAATCAGTTTAAGCAGAAGCCGAGCAAGGACGCTGCACGGTGCAGGGAAGGGGCTCAGAAGAAAGATGCAGGAAGGTGGTCTGCGAGTGGCCATGCGCGGGGAGGGCGCAGCAAGTGCTTCAGTGGTCTCTGCCCAAGTGCACGGTGCTGGGAACTTCCTGTCCTCTGTGTAGGGGAGAAATATATATTACACATTGAAATAAATCAGATTTAAGTTTTGGTTAGACAAGATGTAAGTTTAAATTCTGTGGGTGGGTGGGGAGCACCCTCATACAAGCAGGGGGAGAGGGGATGGGATGGGGGTTTCCAGAGGGGAAACCAGGAAAGGAGTAACATTTGAAATGTAAATAAAGAAAATATCCAATAAAAGAAAAGGAAAAAAAAACCCAAAAGTTACATATTCATTATTCTTATATCTTCATGTATAGTAAAAAATGTTATAATTTTAGTAAAATACAATTAAATTATGTAAAAAAAATTCTGGCCGGGTGATGGTGGCACACGCCTTTAATCCCAGCACTTGGGAGGCAGAGGCAGGCGGATTTCTGAGTTTGGGAACAACCTGGTCTACAGAGTGAGTTCCAGGACAGCCCGGGCTACACAGAGAAACCCTGTCTCAAAAAAACAAAACAAAACAACAACAACAACAAAAAAGAGTGGTGTTGGGACTCAGTGGGCAGAGGGCGAGCCTAGCATGCACCAAGCAATCAGCAACAATACAAACCAGGCATTCTAGCACCGGGGAGATGGAGGCAGGAGGATTACAGAGTGAGCCTGGGCTACATGAGACCCTGACTAAAATCACAACAAAAAAATCAAAACAAACAAAAACCAAGGCTTGAGTCGTGGCTCCAACGGTCAAGGACTTGCCATGGAAATGTTCAATTCCCTGTTCCTGTATGAAAACCTTTGGCGTGCCCTCAGGGACTCTGGAGTTCCAAGAGGCTAAACTAGCCTGCCCGTGATCCTCTGGGATTCTATTGTCTCTTCCTCAAAAAAGTAAAAAAATAAAGATGAAGGAAGAAATCTGATGTCAGCCCCCCCCCCCCCCCCCGTAGACAAATGCCTGCATACAAAGTCATACATGCACATGCATATGACAAAGGGGAAAAGCCAAAGTAACACAAATAGGAGAAATGAGAAGGGAAGTAGGCCCAGCAGAGATGGGGAGATAGCTGCTGGGTGGGAGAGCAGATATAACACAAGATACCGGCTGTATTCCCAGCACCCACATGAGGAGTCTCATGAGGAACCTAACACCCTCTTCTAGACTCTGAAGTCACTGCCCTCATGTAAGTATATACACACAGTTATAAATAATAAAAGGAAACCTGCAGTGGTGGACCACGCCTTTAATCCCAGCACACAGGAGGCAGAGGCAGGTGGATTTGAGTTCGAGGCCAGCCTGGTCTACAGAGTGAGTTTCAGGACTCCCGAGGCAAACCTTGTCTCGAAAAGAAGAAAAAAGAAAGACAATAAAATTAAAATATTTTAAAAAAGAATCTCTTCCTAGTTTTCTTTTACGATCTCCAGAAGATGGTCTGTCTCCTCACGATCCAGTATTAGGTACAGAATCCCAGTTTAGGCGGTGGAGGAAAGCGGAAAAGAGCAACAAACGTATTACTCCCCCTATTGGATAGATTCTGATCATGTGACATCAGGTGCCTACAGAATTCTGGGAGATGTAGTCCATTCTGAAAGGCCTCTTAAAAACGGAAATTGGAAGACAGATCTTTCTGTCGGTCTCTCTCTCTCTCTCTCTCTCCTTTTTTTTTTTTTTTGTTTTTGTTTTTGTTTTTCGAGACAGGGTTTCTCTGTGTAGCCCTGGCTGTCCTGGAACTCACTCTGTAGACCAGGCTGGCCTCGAACTCAGAAATCCGCCTGCCTCTGCCTCCCAAGTGCTGGGATTAAAGACGTGCGCCACCACCACCCGGCTGTCTGTCTCTCTTTTAAGATTTATTTATTCATTTAATGTATATGAGTACACTTTTGCTGTCTTCAGACACACCAGAAGAGGGTATTGCATCTCATTACAGATGGCTGTGAGCCACCGTGTGGTTGCTGAGAATTGAACTCAGAACCTCTGGAAAAGCAGCCAGTGCTCTTAACTGCTGAGCCATGTCTCTAACACGGAAGACAGATCTCTTAGGAAAAGTGTTGTTGTCAAGCTGTAATGATGTTAGTGACCCAGATTGTTGTTTTAGTGGGGAAATCACTGGCTGCACACATGAGGGATCTGAGTTCAAATCCTTACACTATGCAAAAATCCAGTTGTGGTGGCTCATCTGTCATTGTAGCAAAAGGGAGGTTGAGACAGGAGGATCCTTGAAGCTCAGTGGCCACCAATTTAGCAGATCCAGGGCACGAGAGGTTCAGTGAGAAAATCTGTCCAAAAACAAAAAGGAAGCCAGGATGGTGGCCGCAGCATTAACCCATGTGTCATGGAATCAGAGGCAGGCGGATCTCTGAGTTCAAGGACAGCCAAAGCTACACAGAGAAACCCTGTCTCCAAAAAAAAAAAAAAAAGAGATGGGATAGATGAGACGCTCAATGGTTAGAGCACTCTCGCACAAGACTCAGGATCAGTCTCCACACGGTGGTTTACAACCTTCTGCAGCCAGTTCCAGAGAGCGTCTGGCCTCTGTAGGCACCATGGGCACAGACAAACACGGAGAATAAAACATACTTATACATAAAATGAGTAAATATTTTTTTAAAAAAATCAAACAAGAGTACAAAAGGGGTGGAGTTCGGTTGGTGGAATGCTTGCCTGGCACACAGAAAACCCTTGTTTAATCCTCAGCATCACAGAGCAAGGTGTGGAGCCGTGCCGCGCAGCCAGCACTTGGAGTTAGTTACATAGGGGATTACCAGGTGAGCCTGTGGGTACCACGGGGAGCCACAGGGGGCTTGTGATACAGAGAAGTCCGGCTTGGTAGAGCTCTCTCTCTTTTTAATTTAGTTAGAACAAGAGTAAGGATCAAGTGGCTTTCAGAGAATCGACCCGAAGGCGCGCGCGCGCACACACACACACACACACACACACACACACACGAAGAGAAGGAGCGAGTGTGCGAGCGGAACCCGGATGTGCACCGCACAGGCTCCCACGCCACCGCTACACGGCCATGCGAGCCCTGCACCTGCCAGCTGCCGCTCGAAAGGAACAGGGACACCAGCCCGGCCGCATCCGGTTCATCCCCAACCCTTCTCCCCACCGAACCGCGAGCGTAAACACGCGCCATAAAATGCACCGGAGCGGGAAGAACGTACACCTTTAAGACCACCTCCCGACGCCGGACGTGGGCGCGGTCCAGTCCTCCCAATGAAACGGAAGCAAGGGGCGGGGCCGTCCTCGCTTAAAAACCCAGAGCGGGGCTAGCGGTGGGCGTGGCCTCGGGGCGAGCTTCGGAAACCTGCGAGCTGGGTGGGGCTTGTGGGTAGTTAGGCGGCCAAGGAGGGCCCTGAAATGGTGATTGCCCAGAAGCCTGTAAGGAGTTCGATCCCCGGGACTCATTTTTGTGACACCTGGTTAAAGGAGAAAACAATTCCAGCAAATTGTCCTCTGACGTCCACGTAGGAGGTTTGGAACGCGCACCCCCACACCCATTCGCATTAGTCTCCAAAAAGGATGTCCTGAGTTCGACTCCCTGAACCCACATTGTGGAAATATACAAACTCCTTAAATTGTCTTTGGACGATCAAAAATTGCGTACATCTCCCCCAAATATATAAATAGAGCACAGAAGAGTGGGCGTGGCCTTGGTTATGCCCCTCTTCAATCTCAGTCTTCCGGAAGCAGGGGCAGGCAGATTTCAGTGAGTTTGAGGGCAGCCTGGTCTACACAGCGAGTTTTACAGAGCTGGGGCAACATGGTGAACCTGTCTCAAATAACAAAAGACCATTTTTAAAAACCCACAACTGTTGCCACCGCAAGCCAATTTGAAAAGGAGGCAGGGGATCCGGCCTGTACTCTCTAGAAAAGGTGGGGCCAGTAAGAGCGAGGGAGCATGGCAAAAGGGCAGATGGTTTGTGCTGATACCCGGTTCATCCCTTGGACCTACATAGTGGAAGGAGAGAACCTACTTTCCTAGACTGTTCTCTGACGTTTACACGTGTACACACGAAATAAACACAAAAATTTAGCGGTTTTTTGAAGCAAAAGAAATGAGGCGGCGGGAAGTGCTGCTACGTCTTTAAGCAGCTAGACTCCTCCCCTGAGTGGGCGTGGTAGCGACCAGTGCCTTGAAAAATAACCGTGGGGGCGGGGCTTGGCAGTTATCCGTTGCGATTGGTCAGATCCTCGGGCGGTGGTTCCTGTGGGCGCGTGCGCGCGATGCCTCCTCCCGCCTCCCAGACGCGGGGGCGTGGAGGACGGAGCCAGCACTCGCTTTTATTGGTTCTCGCGCAGGCCCCGCCCTCCAGTCGAGCCCTCACGTGATGCGACGGCTGGGGCCTCCCGGCGCGGGGGACGCTAGTGGCCAAGATGGCGGCAGAGCTGGTGGAGGCCAAAGTGAGTGAGCGAGAGTGGCTCTGGCCGGGACAGGCGGGTGGCGGAGTACGGACCGCTCCTCGCAGGGAGCTGGGACGGCGGGGTGCGGGGTGTGGTGGCGCGGGCGGCGAGGGTGAGACCGGGACGCGGGCTGAGCCTGCGGGCGGGGGGGCGGGGAGACCGGGGGCGGGGTCGCCAGCACCCTCCTGGGGTGTCCCTGCCGTCTACTGTCACTTCTTTACCGACCAGAGCTGGGGTTCGTACAGTGTGGGTATACAGCTTTCCAGGTGCGAGCACCGTCCTCTCCTTTGGGTTAGCTCCACTGGGACAGAACTGGGGGTCCTTCTGTGGTCTCGGAAGCCGAAGGAATGCAGAGTGACTTCTCCATCGGGTTTCCAAGGCAACGAGTAGGACTCAGGTCTGGGTACTCCCCGCTTTCCTCCGCTGCAGGCCAGCATGTGGGAAGGTCTGTAGGGATTGCCACAAGTCGTCTGATTCTCGGGGCTGAGACTTGATGCCTCCCGCTAGTGAATAAATCAGACTCCAGACTGAGGCTAACTATGAGTGTCTTGAGTTCATTGTAGAGACTCAGACCTGAGTCCTGCCCCCACTTGTCAGCTATGGGATACCTCTTCACCTAAGCCTACTCTATAACCCAAATCTAACCTCTACATCCTGGTGAATCATCTTGTAGGGTTTCAGTGCTGCCTGGCGTAGCCCACTGGACTGAACACCCCCTTCTTTTTTGTGTGTTTGTTTGTTTGTTTGTTTTGTTTTTTGTTTTTCTGAGACAGGGTTTCTCTGTGTAGCCCTGGCTGTCCTGGAACTCACTCTGTAGACCAGGCTGGCCTCGAACTCAGAGATCTGCCTGGTTCTGCCTCCCAAGTGCTGGGATTCAAGGAGTGCACCACCACCGCCCGGCTCACACCCCCTTCTTTTAAGTGTTCCTCAGATTGATCCTTGCAGGATACTTTAAGTCCAGGGGAGCACACTTCTGCTCTCTCTCTGCCAAAGCGCCAGCACAGTTGTCCCTCCTGAGTTACTTCCCCTCAAGCATCTTCCCACCCATAAGATCCTGACTTCCCTTACCTCTTCCTGGCTCTCTTGTTATATGGTCCTAGGGTTATCCAGGAGGCTCTGATTAAAATGTGTAGTTCTCACCACGAGTGGTGGCACACCTTTAGTCCGAGGACTCGGGGAGCAGAGGCAGATGATCTCTGAGTTCGAGGCCAGCCTGGTCTACAGAGTGAGTTCCTGGACAGTCAGGGCTCCACAGAGAAACCCTATCTGGAAAAAAAAAAAGTATACCCATCTTTCTCCCTATTTACTCACCCAGCTAACACCCAGAACATTGGGGCAAGGCCAAAGCCTCCGTACCCACTTCCCCCTCTGTGCTAAGGGCTGCGAGTGCTTGTTTGCTGTCTAGGTCCTTGGAATAAAAGCTGACGACCTCTACTTGACCCTCTGCCAGCTAGAGCCCACCGCCACATTAGTTAGGTGAACTTGGCCCTTCTTTGAAGCTCTGAAATGCTCCAGAGAGTTCCTGTCATGGCCCCTCACAATGCATTAAGTACAATGGCAACACCTCCACTTTTCCGGTAGCTTTTCTCCAGTCTGTCCTAACAGGCCAGGGATTTCTGTGTTTTGAGATCCACTGGGTCTTTCAGGAGGTAGTTGTGATGTTTGTGGATGAATGGTCCTTGCAGCAGCCTTGGGGCACAGCCCTCATCCTTTGTCCCTGTGCCGGGCATCTCAGCTTTCTGAAGAGCCTAGGCTAGTGACACAGCTGAGTGTAGCCACTTCTGTCTGTGTCTGCACTGTCGCTCCACATCACACCCCAAGCTGAATCTCCAGAAGTCATGGTGCTGACGTTTATCAACTCAGCTCTGGTAGTCTGTGCCAGGGCGGGAAATGCACTCTGGGTGATGGATGGATGGAGGCTTCCTCCTGGGTGCCTGTCCGGATGCCTTGCTGTTTTGCAGCAGGCTGCTCAGGCCATGGCAGCTGCTGGGAAACCTGACCCAGACCATATGGCAGCGACCTGGCTACTCGGATGCTTGCCATCAGTTCTGGATGACAGAACTCCTTGATATCCACTGGGACCACAAAGCCCTCTGGCTCTGGCTGGACCACCGAGGGCTCCTGTCTTACTGTACCTCTCTCCTGAGTCGTGATGGTTTGGGTACAAATGTGCTAACTGTGTACTGTTTGTCCCTGTGCGCAGAAAGAACTGAAGGCCATATTGGGAGTGCCCAAGGGCCACATACCCTAGAGTCCCTGGAGAGTCTGGGAAGCCTAGTAGCCACCAGGCCAAACTCCAGCCCACCCTCTCATGCCAGGAGTACTTAGTCATGCCGTAGTAGCTGGCACCCCAGGTCTCAGGTGTTTTTTGGAGCTCCCCTGGCCCCAAGGGCCATGTTAGGTAGGACTCAGCATCCCAGGTGACCAGGCGGACATGCAATGGAGTGGAGGCTTGGGGCTGGTCGGGTGGGCTTTCTGTATCTGATAGGCTTCTTTAGGGCTCGTGGATTATGTCACCTGACTGTGTCTGCTCATGCCACTAGGGGTATGCGTCCCAGCCCTGTGGGAGTCCCTTTCTACTTTTCATCCAATGGAGGCCAGCATCAAGGCTTAACACAAGCGGCCCAGCTGGCCTATCTCTCAGGGATGCTTGGCCATTCCATCTGTGGGGACCTGCCATGCCCAGGTATCAGCTGTCATGAGCACAAGCGGCCTGCCCGAGGGCCCGGGTCACGGCTGGAATCCCCTTGTGCCCCTTGTGCTCTGGTTGGTTTCTTTCTGCCTGAAGCACCCCATAGGTGCATTCCTAGGCCTGCCCATCTGTTTCACCGTGTCATTAGCTTGGTCACTGCTGTTTGGTTTCAGAGGCTGACTGTTCTCATGTGGGCCCATTCTGTACCCTGGTGGTGCCTTGGGGGGTACTCCTGGCATGATTGGCTGAAAACCAAGGGCAGGGTCCAGGGTGCCTTACTGGAAGACCTGTCTCAGACCATGGTGCCCAGTGGCCTAAGACTAGGAAGCCATACCTACTCTAGGACAGTACTCATAGGAAGCAGGATTTTGGTGGCTGCCACAGGGAGCTGGGGGTGGGGGGACGGAGGCTAGAGGGTTACACCCCTGAGAGCTGCTGTGGTTCCCCTTTGCAGAACATGGTGATGAGCTTCCGAGTGTCAGACCTGCAGATGCTGCTGGGCTTTGTAGGCCGTAGCAAGAGTGGGCTGAAGCATGAACTGGTGACCAGGGCCTTGCAGCTGGTGCAGTTCGACTGCAGCCCAGAGCTTTTCAAAAAGATCAAAGAGCTGTATGAGACCCGCTACGCCAAGAAGAGCGCAGAGCCCGGCCCACAGCCCCCACGGCCCCTGGATCCCCTGGCGCTACACCCCATACCCAGGACGCCCCTGTCAGGGCCCACCGTGGACTACCCCGTGCTGTACGGGAAGTACTTGAATGGACTGGGGCGCCTGCCCACCAAGACCCTTAAGCCGGAGGTGCGTCTGGTTAAGCTGCCCTTCTTCAACATGCTGGATGAACTGCTGAAGCCCACCGAACTGGGTGAGTGGTGGGCATCACCCAGGAGCTCCCCAGAGCAGGCTCAGCCCTGCGCCCATGACCAGCCCTCCAAACCTAGCAGCTTAATGCATGGGGTGGGAGGCAGGCAGCACATCCTGGCCTTCTCGTCACCTAGGGGCCGTGGCAGGAGGATGGTGAGTTTTGAGCTAGACTGGGCTACAGGCTTAAGACACTGCTGAGGGTATGGCTGAGCAAACAGGACACTGAGCCGAGCAGTCACTGGCATGCACGGCCTCTCGTCCCCCATTTAGTTGGCTGAGGCTAGAGGATTGCCATGATTTTGAGGCTAGCCTGGGCAAACAGACCCTGATATATATATATATATATATATATATATATGTGTGTGTGTGTGTGTGTGTGTATATATATATAGGGATCCGCCGAGCAGTGGTGGCACACGCCTTTAATCCCAGCACTTGGGAGGCAGAGGCAGGTCGATTTCTGAGTTCGAGGCCAGCCTGGTCTACAGAGTGAGCTCCAGGACAGCCAGGGCTACACAGAGAAACCCTGTCTCAGAAAAACCAAAAATAAATATATATATATATATATATATATATATATATATATATTTATTTATTTTTGGTTTTTCTGAGACAGGGTTTCTCTGTGTAGCCCTGGCTGTCCTGGAGCTCACTCTGTAGACCAGGCTGGCCTCGAACTCAGAAATCGACCTGCCTCTGCCTCCCAAGTGCTGGGATTAAAGGCGTGTGCCACCACCGCCCGGCAGACCCTGATTTTTAAAAGAAAAGAAAGCTAGGCATAGCAGCTCGTGTCCTTTATCCCATTATGTGGAAGGGAATTCAAGGTTATCTTCAGTTACACAGTGAGTTTGAGGCCAACCTCGGCTAAAAAAAAAAAAGGAGAGGAAAAATAGATGTAAGTTTTAAGTTATCAGTATATTAAGCTGGGCAGTGGTGGTGCACGCCTTTAATCCCAGGACTTGGGAGGCAGAGGCAGGTGGATTTCTGAGTTCGAGGCCAGCCTGGTCTACAGAGTGAGTTCCAGGACAGCCAGGGTTATACACAGAAACCCTGTCTCGAAAAACAAACAAACAAAAAACCAAAAAAAGTTATCAGGGTATCATGAATGAGAGACTGACCAGACCTTTCTGTGGAGGCGGGGATAGCCTCCAAGCGCTCTCCAGCACCCGGCCTTCCACATGCTGCCCGGGTAGGGTTGTGCCTCAGATGCTGCCCTGAGTTGTGCACCTGGCAGGTCCTTTAATGGACCAGATCCAGGCCTGGGCCTTTCCCAGCTTCTCCAGACACTCTAGTTCCCCACTCTCCCTCCTGCCTGTGCCTCCCTCGGTATAAAGCCCAGAGGTTGGGCCCCAGTACTTGGGACAGGCTCCAAGGTGAGTGGTTCCTTCTGTCAACCCCACGTGGTGCTCATGGGCCTCCCCACTGCCGTTCCACCCTCACTGTCTTCCTTGGTTAGCACTCTTCTACTGTAGCAAGCCTGTGTCCCCCTTATCCTGGGACTTGGGGGCTCTGTGTTTAAATTGGGGCTGCTGGTGATGCCTGAGGAAGGGTAGTGGACAGCAGTGGTTTTGTCCTATGGCATGGTCCAGGACTTTTTCTGTGATCAGAGGCCCCACCCCCTCACTGAGGCTCCGCCTCTGACCTATAGCTCCGCCCTTTTGAAACCCATGGTGCTGATGGGGCTGGAAGCAGAGCCCCCTGGCCTGCCAACCCTCCCCTTCCTGTCATGTTCCAAGTGCCACAAGCCTGCCTCCCCGAAGGTCTCCACAGCCCTTGGGAACCTTGGGGCCAAGCTGATTGGGTGTCATCTTGAGGAAGACCTGAGTGCCAGGAGGTTGGCCCCCTGGCCTCCCAGCCTGCATGACAGGCTTCCTTCCTGCAGAGCAAGCCAGCCGTCACTCCGCCCCACAATGCATCACTGTGCCCCTACCCCCTAGGGACCTCGGTCACCTGATCTCCGGGAGAGCATGCTCCCCTGTCTACCAGCCGCTTGAACAAAGAGGTCTAGCCTGCCCGCCTGCCTCCTCACCAGGGTACTCTCTTCCCTGGCCCACACCTCGAGGGCTGCTGGACAAGAGTGCTGATCCTGGGTCTAAGGCATTGAGCTCTCAATCTGCACAAAGGGGTTCACATGCTTGCCCAACCCTGGCCTACACCCTCCTGGCATAGGCCCTGGGATGCCAGTCCACCGTGGCCAGAATGAGTGCCGTGATACTGTAGGATTCCCTGGAAGAGCGCACTGCTTAGTCTGTGCTGGGCAGACTGAACCCATAAATCACCTGAGTACCCGGAGGGGGAGGGGAAAAGAGAGACCAGCTGCAGTCCCGAGTGCACTGACAGCCCCTCTAAAGAGGGCTGGTAACCAGAGAGGGCAAGGGACTCAGCCAAGGACACACAGCAGCCTGAGCTCCTAGGCCCCCCAGCTGGCCCCTTTCCCACCAGGCTATCCCTGGTACCCCTGTCTGTCTGGGGTCAGTGTTGGTTTCTCCTCCACTTCCAGGCAAGGCAGGACCAAGTAGGTAACAGTTGCTGACCACCACAGAACTGACCTAGGACTGGGTGGAGAAGGAGGCGTTAGGTGGCACAGGGCTACCTAGGGCCTGACTTCTACCCTAGGGCTGTGTGTCCTTTGAGCAGTTGGAGGGCTTCCTGGAAGAGGAGGCACCATCGAGGCTCCTGAGGGTCATCTAGATGGAACGAAGCCATTGTGGGAGTAAGGAGTGATGGGGGCCTAGACCTGAGGACGTGCCAGGGCTGAGCTGGGGGCCTTTGACCCTCACAGCCACCAGACAGCAGCCTCTTCCCTCCCCCCCACCCCCCGGCTGCCGGGGAGCAGCTGTGTTCCTTGTTTTGTTGATGCAGTTTTTGAGGCAGGGCTCACAGTGTAGCTCAGGTTGGCCTGGAACTTGTGATCCTCTACAGTGCTGGGATCAGAGGTCCACCCCGTGGCGCTCTCAGAGGACAAGTTCTGTCTATAGGGCCTTTGCAGAAGCTAGACCTCAGCCTCATTGCCCACCCCAGGCTGTTGGTCCTTGTCTTGTCTTTGTTTGTTTTGTTTGTTTTGTTTTGTTTTCCGAGACAGGGTTTCTCTGTGTAGCCCTGGCTGTCCTGGAACTCACTCTGTAGACCAGGCTGGCCTCGAACTCAGAAATCCGCCTGCCTCTGCCTCCCGAGTGCTGGGATTAAAGGCGTGCACCACCACCGCCCGGCAATAGCTGGCTTTCAGCACTACCTTTGTCTGTTACTCTTTACGTTTTGGGTGTTGGTTTTTGTGGTATTTTGAGGCAGGGTCTCAGGTAGCCCAGGCTGGCCCAACTTGTTATATAGCGCTCCTCTACAAGATCTTCTCCCTCCCCGCTGCAGAGCTGGTAGGCTGGCACCCCTGCATCTGCCATCCCCTTGCTGTCTGTCTGATACCCAGGCTGGGCTCGTTCAGGTCACAGATATAGGGCAGCCCTTGAACTGGTCCTGCCCATCCCAGTGGTGCAGGCCGTGGTCGTCTGTGACAGCTGCGAGTCCCACAGTGGAGCTGCTGACCCCTAACTTGGACCTTGGCGGTAGGCTGGGGTGGCTGGTTGGAGCTGGTGACACAAGCCCACCATGCTGCTACAGGGGCTTCTGAAGCAGATTGGGCCCCCACTGTTTGCCTTGGCGCTCCTAGTGCAACCAGCTAAGCCTGCATTAAACACCCGTCACCTGAGCCAGGCAGCAGGGGTGTCCACATTTAGTCCAGCACTCAGGAGCCAGAGGCAGGTGGATCTCTGAGTTGGGGGCCAGCCTGGTCTACAGAGCAAGTTCCAGAACAGCCAGGGCTACACAGTGAGACCGTCTGGTGAGGAGGGCACCTATCACCTGTAGCCCCTGGCTAGGCTGCCTGAGCCTGAGGTGGCAGTGGTGTCATTGTCTTTCGGTACTCAGGCATACCCAGAGCTGATCCCGGATGGTCCTGCATCTCCACTAGCTTCCCGTTGGCTGCCTCCGCCCTGGAGTGCGCAAGGCTGAGAGGGACCCCATGACTGCCAAGATCCTGGGGACCGTCTTCCATGGCCCTGAGTGTCCTGTCCAGTCTCCTACCTGCCCTGTTGGGCCTGGGTGGTTGCCCCGTCTCAGACAGAGGCGGTCTGTGGGCCCCCACAGTGTCTGAGCTTGCCCTGTCTGCGTGTAGTGTCCATGGCGTGGGCCTCCAGCTCCGCCCCACGCTGCAGAGCCCAGAGAGAAAGTGAGAGTGGTTGACGGAGGGAAGCAGGCAGAGCAGAGCTGCTGCGTGTAGCCTGGTCTGCCTCGGAACTCCGCCTCGTCCCACCTCACCCAAGCAGCCCTGCAGTGTGTGGTTGGTTCTGGAGTTTTGAGACAGGGTTTCTCTGTGTAGCTCTGGCTGTCCTGGCCTTGCTCTATAGACCAGGCTGCCCTGGAACTCACAGAGATACCTCTTCCTCCAGTGTGATGGGATTATAGCATGGGCCACTACCATGCCAGGCCAACTGTGCAGTTCTCAACAGGCCCTCCCTCAGACACTGTTGTACAGGACAGACATGAGTGTCAACAATGTGCTGGCGGAGGGGGTGGTGACAGGAGCTGCAGAGCTGTGTCCTATGTCCAGGAGGAGGGTTGCAGGTTCAGGGCCAGCCTGGGCTATAAAGTGAGAGCCAACGTTGGGTGCATAGCCCGTAAGGTTAAGTGGGTCTGAGGAGGCCACTAAGGAAGAGTTCAGTTCATGGCTGATGCTGCCATGGAGGACCCGCCCTCAGATGCAGGGATGGGCTGCTCCGGGGACCAATAGCCATGGTCTCTCCAGCAACATAGGGCGGGACAAGCCTCAGCTGTTGTATGGGACCCTAGACAGTAGTGTGGTCACCAGGCAGCCTGGGTCTTGCCTGATGTCCCCCATCACACAACAGAAACCTCCCCTCTCCCCTCCTCTCCCCTCCCCCAGGAAGGCCTCTACCTCCTACCCAGCCACTGCCAGCCGGTGTCTTCCATGGCCCTGCTGGACCTGTCCCCCCCCCCCCCGTCCGTCCCTGGGGCAGATGTGAACGTGCCCGGGAGGTCCTGAGCTCCGGCTCCTCTTCCCTCGGGCCTGCAGCATTACTGCATGTAGCCTGCCGTCCGTCACCCAGGGACCCATGATGCTGGGCTGGCTGCAGGCCTGACAGTCCCTCACCCCAGCCACCACCACTCCCCCCCCCCCCGCCCCAGGTCCAAAATGCCTGTACTCACCGTGTGGTACAGGCACCACAGCCTGCGAGGGGGTGGGGGGGCAGAAGGTTCTAGGCCAGTCGCACCCTGCATCAGCTGTCCTTGTAAATGGGGTTCTGTGCTGTACAGACAGTGTTACCTGACCTGGATGGCGGTTGGCTTTGCAGAGCTGGGTGGAACTATTGACCTGGTCCCCACTGCTGTGGCCTTGGGCCTCAGACTTACCCTGGAGCCCAGGCTGGCTTCTGAACCCAAGGCCCTTCTGCTTCAGCGTCCTGCACACTGGGGTGGCAGGCGCCTACACCTCCTCCTCCTCCTCCTTTCTCTCAGAGGCCTGCTGTGACCGCACTGCCCTTACACATGCACACAAGTAAGAGGCCTCTGCTGGGCTTCTGCACAGTAGGCCAGCACTCTGTGGTGGAGCCTGCCTGGCTGGTGGAGACTGGACCTGGGTGCAGATGAAACAGTGGCTTATGGATACACATGGCTACCCCGCTGTCTTTGAGAATGGGTGAGGCCGGTTCATGTCACTGGGGCCTGAGGTCCGCCAGGCCGCCTGACCCATGTGTGTTCAGTCCCACAGAGCGCGGAGAAGCTGCAGGAGAGCCCGTGCATCTTCGCGCTGACACCGCGCCAGGTGGAGATGATCCGCAACTCCAGGTAGGGCCGGCAGGCGCAGGAGCCCGCCTTCCTGCGCCACCCCTGATGCCAGGAGCTCCCCAGGCACTCATGCCATCAGACGGAACCCAGGGTCCCTCGGGTGGGCTGGGTGTGGATGAGCCTTCTCTGATGTCCCTGCCCCCTTAGTCAAGGCAGTGGGGCGGCTGGGTTCTGTGACCATGAGAAGGGCCCCTGGGTGGTCTGTGCTAC